AAAGTTCGGGCTGCTGTGGAGCCCTTGTTAACCTTCTTCTTATGTTTGGGTTCATGGGGATAAATGCCCTTCAGGATGCACAGCCGCCTGGAAGATAAAAATTATTCCTTCTGTAGGTAAATGTACTAAACACTGGCCACATCAGGCCAGCAAAACAGCAGTGAACAATGAAAATGGGGGCCTTGCCCTTAGAGAATTCACATCTTAGTGCAGGATCTGACAATCCCAAGTTCCCCCAAAACCACCTAATGTAGACTGTCACAAGCACCAGAAAGGAAACAATCAGAATGCTAACAGGGGCCAGATGGCAGGTATCCTTTTTTCACAAAGGGAGTCAGGAAAGGCCTTGCTGAGAAACTCACACTTCAGCCATATAAAAGGTAGAGGGAAAGGCATCCTAGGAAGGACAGAGGCTGTAGGAGCGAAAAGTGCTGTGTGACTAAAAGTGGGCCATGTGGCAGGGCCCACAGGCTGTGGAAAGATATGATTTGACTCTATGAGGAGTTGAGAACCCCTCGCTGCAGGATCAGGGGTCTCTTCTGCCAGAACGGAGGGAATGGGTGACAAAGACCCAGCCAGAGAGTAGCAATGCCTTGTACCAGTGGACCCATTCTGATGATTAAGGGTGGCATGACCCATTCTCCAGCTTCCCTAGAGACCACACCTGGCAAAGCACAGCTCACTTACAGCAAAGCCAGATGAGGAAGAGAATGAGAAAGGTCAGAATTCTGGACAGAGTTTGTGGTGGCACAGGGAAGATAGGGATGTGGCTGAGTTTTCACCGTTACTGAGCATGATTCATTGCTCAGGAACCCCCGTGGCCCCCTTATGCCACTCCTCTCCAACCTCACCTGAAGTCGGCCAGGCTCAGCTGCAGCTTCTTCCGGGCTTTGTTTCGGGTGATGTAGTTGGTGGCAGAGCCTCGTTCATACTTGGGGAGAAAAAAACCCAAGTGACCATTAGCAATGATTGCAGTGATGGCATCAATCTCTGGGCATGCCTCATGCTAGGGGTAACTATCACTGTGCATAACCAGCTGATAGGCTTCTGGGACAGGAAATGCTATAGGGAGGGAGTCCACCCACCTGAACAAGCTCTCCTGTACTGTCCTTGCAGTACTCAGCATAAAGGACACACACATCTGCATGATGCTGGGGACCATGAGGTTGCTATGGATCAGGTGCTATACCAAAAGCACTTAGTAGTGGCTCTAAGTATTGGCTACTTTGATCAGCAATTATTTTATTTAATCCTCACAACAACCATGGCTTGTGTCCAGGTCACACAGATTTTTAAGGGCTGGGATTCAAACGTAGGTCTGAGTCCTGAGCCTCAGTGCCTAATCCCCTAAACTGGTTTTTTCAACTTTTTCACTACAACCAACCCTTACACCAGAAGGTTTTTTAGACCTCCCCCTTAATCATCCCCTCTCACAACCCCACGAAATGTTAATACTACAGACATACCAAGATCTGTTTAATGTGGTCTTTTAGAGGGCCACAAACCATGGAAAAATCTAAGATCCCTTCAACTAATTTTTGTTCCTTTGGGGGTGATATCTGGTTGAAAATGCATGCCCTAAGCTAAAAAACCTCTCCCCTCCATCATTCATTCACTTAACAGAAAATAAGAGTATCTCTACCATGTTCCAAATATTAAGCAAGATGCTATGAGGGCAGGAGCATACTGTCTGATGCAATCATGTGGATGTCTGTAGTGCCAAGATGCTGCCTCATGCTCATATCTCTGTATTCCTGATAAAGAGTAGCAGTTCAAGGTACCAAGCGTGTCCTTTCCAAACAAGATCATCCTCTGCAGTAAAACAGCAGGGACCTGATGGCCAGGTCCAGCTCTAAAGAGATAAACCTATACCCCTCAAGAGGTTTATGATCACCCCCCATCATAAAACACACTTTCATTTATTCTTTCCAGACATTGTCCACTGGGGATACAAAGATGAGCTTCAGACTGCCTCAGAAAGTTGGGTTTAAAAGTGTTTTCCATTACATATATGTCTGTCATTATGCTTATCCTTTTAAATAGCAAGTGGATAAATAGTTCTCAACTGGGATGATTTTACTCCCTGGGTGTGTGTGAGATGGAGGGAAGGGAATTAGGCATTTTGGGTTGTTGAGTGGCACTGGCATCTAGTGCGTAAGAAGTCAGGATGATACTAAACATCCTACAATGCACAGGACAGGTCTTTCCACAACAAAGCATTATGTGGCTCAAAATGGTTGTGAAACCCAGCTTTAACAACTGTCGTGACTTGTTTACATATCTGCACCTGTGCTGCAAGGAAAAATTTTCTATCTTAAATCTTTGTGATTCTAAACACTAGCACTTACTGGTTGTTCAACAGTGTATTGGGTTAAATATAAACAGGCAACAGAAACTTTCAATCTGAAGAAAACACAAGACAACTACATCTTCCTCACCTTCATCCCTTCCCCCATCTTTTCATACCACTAAGGTGATTCTCCATACGGCAACAAGAAACCCTTGAAAAACTGTATCGTGGTACTTTCCCTTTAGCTGAGTTGTACTGCACTTGGAATAAAATCCAAGCTCCTCACTGTGGCTCACAGGCCTTATACATCTGGTCCCTGTCTAACCTCAACCTCACCAAATGCCATTCTTCCCTTCCCTTGGTTTACTATACCCTAAGCCATCTTGATGTCTTAATTCCTCGCGCACAGAAAACTTTTCCCACCTGAGGGTCCTGGCACTGAGTTTCCCCCGCCAGGTTTGCTCGCTAAGCACTCCCATGGCCCAGAACCCATGTGAGATCTTCTGAACTTTCTGATTGCGGCTTAAATGTTGAATAGGAGAGACCTTCCAAGACAACACCAACTAAAGTAAGTAGCTTTTTCTATCCACCAGCCTTATCTTTCACATCACATTTAACAATCTGTGATCGTTTTGTTGGGTGTCCACATCCATTTGTTTACGTTTCCCTCTCCAATGTCAAGGGCAAGTCTAACAGAAAAGAGAATAACAAGTTTTGGAAATGATAAACTTGACCGAACGATAAACTTCTCATAATGTTTATTACTGTTTCAGTAAACAGTTGCCTTTCGACCGGGGCTGCATTTGGGGTGCTTGGCAACCCCAACTTTGTTTTACAGCCCTACTCCAAGGTTCTTTCCTGAACTTCATCGGACGAATAGCCGTCCTCGCCTATTCTCGGACCCCATCTCGTGGCTGTTTCTCATTGCGCTGATCCCAGCCGTTTCTGTACGCATGAAGGGCTGAGGCCGGGAAAGGCGCAGTCCCCTGGC